TGACAACATGCCTGATTCCTCCTATTCTTGGCTTGAATTTCTTCTGGATTTTCCAACTGCCTGCTCTCCACTCACAATGCAGAGAAATAAAGAATGGGGTTCATTATGTCTTAACAGGCCTGTCAGCTTAAACTAGACATACATTTCTTTTCCTTTCCTTCACTGAGCTGTTAATCTGGGTGTTTCTCCTAATTGTTCCATTTCAAGGAAGGCAGAAGTGATTTTCTGCATGCATGGTACATGGATTAAGGTACTTTGGGGGCCTTGGAAATATTTTCTTTTTTCCCTTCCTTCTTTCTTTTCTTTCACTTTTTAAAAATATTTATCTCTCAGAAATTCATCCAATAACAATTTATTGAGCTCTACAAAGTGGCTGGCATTGTGCTAGGCATTGGGGAGAAATACAAAAATAAATAAAACATACTAATTACCCTCAAGCAGCACAGTCTATTAGACAAACAATAATTACAAGACAATGTAATCAATTGTGTTGGAGAAGCTTGTGGAGAATGGTGTGTTGGCACAGAAGAAGGAATCAGTAGGTCTGACAGGAAGTCAGAAAATGCCTCACAAAGGAGGTACACTCAAGTGTAGTCTTGAAGCATGAGTAGAAAACACAAACTTCAGAGGGGTGAAGAGTTCTCAGGCAGAGGGAAGGACACGTGGAGAAGTTTGAAGTAATATCCCATGTAGTAGAAACCAAGGAGGAGTGCCTGTTAAGTGTGGGCACGTGGAAACATCAGATGTGCTTTCCTGGTCCAATAATATGCATAAGCCATGCCCTTGTCTATGGACAGTAGATATTTATAACATATAGTAAGCAGAGTGACAATTTTAAAAAGATAATTTTAGCAGTTGTGCTGAGGGTGGATTAGCCAAAGAAGGAGTAGAGAGGCCTTTTGCAGTTTTTTTGGGAGAGGTGTGTTTAACAGATACTTAGAAGGAGGAAGTGACACTTTCACAGTAAATGAGGAGAGCATGGTTCTGCTGTGAACATGTACCCATTAGTCATCTAAGCAAAGATGCCCAGGAAGGAGGCAGAGGTGTATATCTGCAGCTCCAGAGAAGGGTGACATCTGAGGAATGGATTCAGGCATCATTTGGGATCTAACGACATTTAAAGCCAAGAGAGTGGGAAGATCATCAGGAAAAGTCTTCAGTGAATAGGTCCCCATCATAAGGATTAAATTGCATGAAGGATGACTATTGGGTCAGCATTCTGTGGAACCCTAAGAAATGTTTCAAGAGGTCTGAGAACCCCTGACATTTTAAGCAAAACTTTGTTAAAATGTAGATTTTTGTCGGGATAGAAACTATAACTTTTACCAAACTCTCAAAGGGGTCTGAGCCAAAAAAGGGTTAAAGTCCACTGTGTTTCAATAAATATTTTATATATGCCCATGATACTTAGTACTTAAATGAAATTAAAGAGAGGTATGATTCAGGCTGGAAAATAAGTTCTATTCTGTTCAGATCAAATCACAAAAGAATAGTTCACATTAAAAGTATGTTTGTTCATATAACAAAAGTGGAGGATTGAAATATTTGTCTATGTGGCTTCAAATTATTACCTTTTCTTTCTGAATGAGATATCTATTCCAGGAATTCTTAAATCACCACCCCTTCAGCTCATTCTCCCCACCACCATGATTACATACTACCTCTGGTTTTGTTTCATATTTTGAACTTGATCCAAATTTCTCACTTGATCATCACAGCACATAGTCAAGCTTTTCTCCTTAATAGCCTTCTTTACATAAAAGAGCTTTTATTGTAGGTTATATTCTTAATACAATCTGAGTAGAGCATAAAATTTGCCACTTCTTTTCTGTATTGAAGGACACTTTCCATAAAGTGAAAAGATAATGATGGAATGAGAAAAAGTATTTACAAATCACTTACTTATCTGATAAGGGCCCAGTAGCCTCACTGTATAAAGAACTCTAACAACTCAACAATAAAAAGACAACCCAATTTAAAAATGGGCAAAGGATTTGAATAGACATTTCTCCAAAGAAGATTCATAAATGGTCAATAAGTACATGAAAAGATGGTCAAAATCTTAGTCATTAGGGAAAGAAAATCAAAACTACATTGAGATATCACTTCACATTCAGTGGATGATGAGAATTAAAAAAAAGAAAATAACAAATGTTGGTAAAGATATGGAGAAATTGGAACCTTCATACATTACTGATAATAAAAATGGTACAGCTACTGGGGAAACCAGTTGGCAGTTCCTCAAAAAGTTAAAGATAGAGTTACCATATGACCCAGAAATTCTACTTTTAGATATATACTCAAGAGAATTGAAAACATTTGTTCACAAAAATAATTGCACACAAATGTTTATAGTAGCATAATTTATAAAAGCCAAAATGTAGAAACAATCCAAGTGTCAATCAACTGATGCAAAGTTTAACAAAATGTGGTGAATTTTTACAATAGAATATTATTCGGCTATAAAAAAGAATGAAGTACTGAACAGCAAGGATGAACCTTGAAAGAAACCAGACACAAAAGTTCACATATTGTATGATTCTGCTTATATAAAAAGTCCACAATTGACTAATCCATAGAGACAGAAAGTAGATTAGTGGTTGCCAGTGGGTGGGGAGAAAAGGGAATTGGAAAGTGTGGGGTTTCTTTTTGGGATGATGGAAATGTTCTGGAATTGTATAATGGTGATAAGTTGCGCAAACATTGTGAATATATTAAATGCCACTGAATTGCACACTTTATTTTATTTTATTTTATTTTATTTGGTAGGTGCCCCTAGCAGAAACCAAACCCGGGACTTTCTGGTCCGCAGGCCGATGCTCCAACCGCTGAGCCAAACCGGCCAGGGCTGAACTGCACACTTTAAAATGGAAATAGTTAAAATGGTGAATGATATGTTATATAAATTTTATCTCAATAAAAACTGCAAAAAATCCCCCCTGCCAATTGTCTGTAGCTCTACTCCGGAAATAAGACAATCATAGAATTTATAAACATTTTTAAAAGATCTTTTCCCTTGTCTTTGCAAAAGTCAAATACTTTCACATATAATAAAAATTACTCATCATTTGAGATCAGCAATATTTATTATAACCCTGTTAAAAACTCAAGCACATTGAAAATTTACTTAATAAATAAGTAAAGAAGTGAGGAAATATTGACACATATTTGCTTAATGAGTACATTTCTACAATTTGGTACAAATAAAATGACAAGGAAGTCTATTAAAAGCCTCCTCAACTTTATAAGAGTATTCTCAAATTTTAAACGTTGAAAGTAATGGTAGAGTACAGACTGACAATCCCCAGAAGAGGGGGTGGCGGGGGAGAGATAAACCACAGAACTTGTATACATGTATGCATGAACAATGGACATGGACAACAAAACTGGGGACAGGGTAGGGAGAGAGGGGGAGGGGGGAATCAGTGGGGGGAAAGGAGAAACATCTGTAACACAAATAAACTAATTAATTTAAAAAAAGAAAGAAAGAAAGAAAGTAATGGTAGAGAATACGGAGGTAAGAATCCACATTACCATTTTTTTTCCTGCTTCTGTTTCTTCCAGAAGTGAAAGCTAAGCTTTGGTCATTCAGGCACTTCAGAATTCTTTTGAATTTCACACTTTTTTTTTGGACTGAAATTAATATGTTTCCATAATAGTGAGTACCATTAACTTCCCCCTGCACAATTTTCCTCCTTGATCCCCAAGACAGCTCTTTGTATTTCTATTTGTCTTCATATCATACAGCATGGAGAGGAGGGAGGGGTTTAATTTTTTAAAAGGTTGCTAATAATGTTAAATAACTAACAAAAATATGTCCTAGTCCCAGAAAGACTGTTTGATAGCCATGATGTGGTGAAAAATATTCTTTTCAAATTAGTTCTCTCTGGCCTGCGTGCGCATCCCTTCTCTTCGAATAACTCTTTCATTACTTAGTTCCTAAACAATAATTTGTGGCATCTAGTGTAAAATAGATATGTGCAGCCCCTTGTTCAGAAATTACTAAGAATTTCAGAAGAGCAACAGCAACAGCGCACACCTAGCCACGCACACCTCCCGGAGCCGTCCGGGCGGAGCTGAGTCCCACAGCTCGTCCTGACTCCGCGCTCCCACCTCCTTCTTGTGGTTACAGGCCAGTTCCTTCAACTCCCAGAACCTCATTTTCTTTACCTGAAACATGAGGCTAATCATTCCCCATCTCTCTCGTTGCTGCCAGGATTATTTTTTAGTCTCGAGTTTGAATACTATTGCTTAACGTGTTTTTTATTTTCCTGTGGGGAATGCGTGCTGTGTGTTCGATTGGGCATGAGTGGCAGGAAAGCCGTTTGGTGGATTAAATAAGGGTCCTTCAAAGAATAAGGAAGGGGGCCCGGGAAGGGCTGCTCTTCCTCTCATCTCCGACCTTATACACTTTGCCTCACTCTGTTTTTATTAGCTTGCATCCTCAGTACATCAGTGGCAAGGGTGATGAAACCGGTGGCAGATTTAACTGCCAGGCAGCTGGGTCACTGTCCCGTGGGTCTTGTTGTCATGCTGCGATCTTAAAGTGACCACGGCTGCTTGGGCTGCTGCTTTCCAAAAGACTCTGAGAGAGACCACTGAATAGTTAATCGGTGGAAAAGGGGAGAAAGAGGCTGTTGCTTGCAGAAAGCACAGAGATGCTGCTTTGAGAAATCCCAAGGTGGCTGAATATCAAGAACATGGTTCCTGCTGTGGGCAGCTGTGTGTGCAAAGGGCAGCCTGAGGGCTTAAAATCAAATCTCCAGCATGGGTTGGTGTCCTTCCCGTGGGGCTTTGACACTGGAGGGAGAAGGCCTAAACACTATAAGATGAAGAAACCCATAATGCTATCGATGAGGGAATATCGTTTACAGTTATCTTCTTTATTGTTAGCAACCTCAGTGAACCATGTGTTCTAAGAAAAGAAAAAGAAAAAGAAAGCTAAAGAGAGAGAAAACAGGATGATTTATTTCACAGGAAAAAATCTGTGGGCCCCTTACCTGAAACCTTCTCATGTCCCTTGGGTTTCCTGCTGTTTTCAAACAATTCTGATTGCACTTGAGGAAAAATTTTAAAAAGAATCTGTGAAAAGAAAGCCATGTGTTACATTTTTAAGTAAACATTTTTAAAGAGAGAATATCCATGCATTCTATTAGATTTGATTTGAGAGTGATTGTATTTCGGGTCTGGGGAATTTCAGCCAGCCCTGCCTGGGTAGGAACATTGCTGACCCTCGGCAATTTGCAAATTTGGATGTTTTCATTCACAAGTCAGCTCCATCACTGTGGAGGATTGTGAACTGGTTCCCAAGCTGGGTTCTGGTTTGTACACCCGCCCCAAATTGCTAGGGCACTCTTCCCCACACCCAGAAAAAAAAAAAAAAAAAGAAAGGAAAAAGAAAGGCTTCTAACGAGGCAGTGGCTCCTGCCGTGAAAAAATGTCTTGCTCCAAGGTTTAAAATGGCAGGACTTAGCCCAGAATCTCAGGGTCCCTCACGTATGTGGCTTTCCACTGGCCACACACACCTTCCTGCTCACACACCTCACACATACACCCTTACACACAGAGGGGACTTGATATTTTCAACCGATGTATATAAAAATCAGAAAATGTTATGTTACCACCCAAAGACAGAGTCAGTCTATGCACGGTTTTCACTAGAGTTTCTATGATTAATAAAAAATGTGAATGTCCTTTCACTCCTTCTATATATTATCCAGAAAATATGAAGGCACAGAATAATGGTCTGAGGTCATCATTTGTAAAACATATTTTTTAAAGCCAATATTCTCCTAAATAAACTATTTGTGCAATTTAAAAACTGGGCATCTTTAATCAGACAAGTACGTCCACCAAGAAAAATAGCCGAAGTGGTCTTTTCAGCCATTTATGTATTTAATGTTTGGAATTTTGTTTCAAAATACAATAAGTTTTTCATTTATTTTACTTGCAGAGTCCTTTTCCTTAAAAAAAAAAAAAAAAATCAGCTTTTGCAGTGCTAAAGTCCCAGGTGAGCTAGGCCTATTTCCCTTTCTGTTACTATGACAACGAAATTTTACCGCAGTCCCAAAGTCCCTTCAGAACTCTCATATCCATGCCTTGAATTAGAACTTTAAAGGAAAAAACATACATTTTCCCCAGGATTTACCAACAAAAATAAGTAGAAATCAACAATGCTCCCCAAAATTCTATTTTAGAGCAACGGTTGGTGGGATGCTTTCATGCTGACCTCTGTTTATTGTTAATTCTTTAAAACCACGCAGAAGAATTACAGAGTGTTCCAATGATGGCATTTCACACTTTAAAAAAACTGATGGAAAGATAAACAGTAAATGATAAAGGAGGAGAGAAGGGAAATTGCACTCTCAGAGTGTTTTTATTCCTATTTGAATCTCTTTTCCTCTAGATTTGCTAAAAATATTTGGTCAAATGTTCCTGACCCGATCTAATGAATAAGGTTAGGTGTGAATTTAGAAATAACAGCTAAATATTTTTTTCATTATTTTATAACATCTGCTTTTCACATCTCTCTTTTAATCTTTTCTGGGGTGGGAGGTGTCTACCGAGGGACCTCCAGAATAACAAGGCAGAGAAGATGCTCCCCTGCTCTACCCGGCGTTCAAATCCACAACCCGCCTCTGCTCTCCAAAGAGCAGTGAAATGTCTGCCATAGCAATCAGAGCACATCGGAGAGAGAGCTGCTTTTATTTAAGAAAAGACGGATCAGAACTCAAACATCCTGTTTTTTGAGGGGAACAGCCTTCCACTTGTGCGGTCACAGCGGTGGTCTGCAGGCACCCGATGCAGGGATGCTCTCCTCAGACTTAAAACTTGCCTTTTCCTCTCTTAACAACAGTCCCCACCCTCACACCACATTTGCCCTCCATCACCCCCATCAGTGATTTACTTCTCCCCTCCCACGTCACCCCCCTCCCCCCAAAAAAACCCCACTAAAATCAAATCAAGTGCCTTTTCTCACTAACTCCTGGATTTGGGGCAAGTTTTCCCACAACTGGGCTCCTTATAAGGCATTCTGTGTGTGTTATACTTTCCCTTACCTGCCCCACCACCCTTCCTCTAGAATGTATCTGGTGAAAACATTAATGTTCATGAAGGCATTATTATAGGAATGGTGGGTAGGTGGAAAAGTGCAAAGGAGATAAATGTTTACATAAAATCAAATTGATTTAGTGAAACAAGGGCCTGCTGAAAGGCTTTATTCATTTTTAAATTAGGACCCTTAACAGGTCTTAGGATGGAAAACACCCAGCTTTGACTCGTTTGCTGGACTGGAGTCTGAGTTTGTAACCTACACAGCCTCCTGAACACTAAAGATATAACTGTTCTGTTCACAAAGGTTAAGAGAGTCATGGAGGAGGAAGGGAATTGTTGGGGGGGGGGAGGTGGCATGGGAGGAAAGAAAGAGAGAGAAAGAGAATTCTCTTATATTGTATAGTACTTTCTAAAAGAAGCATAGCTATTTCTATTTCTAAATGGCCAGCACCAAAAATTATGGCCTGGATATTTTACATGTGGACCTAAAAATTAATTTAAAGAAATTCTGGGGCTTACTGATATCTCCAATTTTTTCTCTTTTTAGTGATGTCTTCCATCTCCCTCCCTGCACCCCTCCACCCATCATGCTCAGGGACTTGGTACAGAACCCTTTACTAACCAAATTAGCCATTAACCACAGGGTAACTTGCAGGGAACAAATCTTGTGTCTAGATCCCTCCGACGCCAGAGCTGTCTGGAAAATGTCAGTTCTCTCTCCTCAGAAATGGGAAACCAAAATGAATTACAAGATTCAGACCAAATGTATAGATTCTGATCAGGATGGAAGTTGTTATTTTCACTTTCTCCAAACAATGCTGACTACATGAATATTATCACCACTTAGCATGATAAACTTTGCAGGCCCTCTGATCTCATTCCTTAAGAGTTAACACTAACAAATACAGGTTTATCCTTGTTTTATAGATAGAGAGTAATAGAGAGGTGAGGTCAAAATATAAACTCAAGCAAACTGTAATCGAAAAATAAAAATGTTTTAAAAAGAACCTCCACTAAAAGAATGTGAACTCAGCCCTCAGATTTCAATCTGGTTCCTAGGTCAACTGAGGCAATAGAATGTACAAAAGAGCATTCCTTCACTGTACAAATGTTTACTAAATGCTGACAGTGGGCTAGACTTGATCTGCCACCAACTAACTTTGTAACCAAGTTACCTCACTTCTCTGGGCCTTGGTTTCTTCAACTGTTCAGAGGGTTTAACTGGATTATCCATGGGGTTCCATCTAGCACTGATATGTTATGATTGCTAAGAAAAAATACATAGAGTTGAAAACCCTCCAGAAATGGATATACTGGGGGAAGAAACCGCTGATGACAAAAAGATCGTCACTTACTGAAGCCCAGGTGGAGGTGAGTGTAGGGGTTTTCTAAGAGGGTCAACCCCACTGATCTGAGACTAAAAAAAAAAACTGCAGAAATGGCTGATTGGTAGAAAATAAGGCACCTTGGCTGATGCCTTGGCCAGAGCTGGCGGTACTGTGAGTTTGTTGAGCAAGGTGCACCTTTCCTTTAGCACCCTTTCTCTCTGCTTCCAAGGCAGGAGAAGGTGGCTCAGAAACATCACAGACCAGAGCCATCTCTGTCCCTGCTCACTCTCCTGTGTGGACCATAAGCTGAAGGGTACAAGAGTCACAGAGGACAGGGGAAGAAGGCTAGCCAAATGTCTACTCTGTGTCATGCTCCTAGCTATGTCCTTGATATTCATTGCCTCATTTATTTCTCACAACTTTATGAGTGGCAAATCATCTCACAGCTAGAAAAAACAGACTCCAAGAATTTATAAATTTGCCCGAGGTCACACAGCTTTAAGTGACAAAACAATAATTTAAACCTGGGCCTTTCTGGCAACAAGTTCCATCTGGCGTTCTATGTTTCCTGCGCCAATTAGACTATGGTGATGGCTGCAAGACTCTGTGGATACACTAGAAACCATTGAACTGTACACTTGGAATGGGTGGACTTTATAGTCTATAAACAATATTTCAATCCAGCAATTAAAAAAAAACAACTTCAGATCCCTGGCTGGTGTGGCTCAGTTGGATGGAATGTCATCCCATACACTGAAAGGTTGTGCATTCGCTCCCTGGTCGGGGAGTGTACAGGAGGCACCTGATCCATCTCTCTCTCTCTCCCTCCCCCACTCTGAAATCAATGAACTCGTCCTCGGGTAAGAATAAAAAACAACAACAGAAAACATGGTCTGAACCAGCAATAATAACAACAAAAGACTATAAAGAATTCAAGTTTGTTGGAGGGTGAGAGGTCTAGCACCCCAACAGGAAAACATTAAGTCACAGATAGTGGCGTGGAAGTAATTGCCACTATTGAAAACCTCTGGTGAGTTCATTTATTTACTCATTTGATCAATTATTAAGTATGCAATATATGCCACAAATTTTCAGTCACGATGGAAAATAAGATAGACAAAATCCTTGCCCTCATGGAGCACACAATCAAACTATTCAAAATATGCTTCTTCAGACTCTGAGATGTATCTGGAGACTTCTGAATATGGGTCTGAGTATAACCCCAGGGTCTTACCTATTACCCAAGAAATCTCTGTTCCTCTTGATTCTCTGGAATATTGGAGAACTGAGCACTGTTTAAGAATAGAATGAAAGCTCCTGGGTGGCTCTATACATGTGCTGAGCCCACCCCAAATAGAAACTGAGATTCAAACAATGCGAAAATAGGATACAGAGTTAAGGTCTGGTGGTGGGGCAGCAAGGAGTCTCTAAATCATAGAAAGGATAACTACTTAATATTCATGCCAGATTCTAGGATTATAACCAATCATCTGACTAGTACAAAACCCAGCATAATATTTCTCCAGATGTGTGGAAGGGGCCATTCAATTTATCTCCTGTTAGAAATAGAAAATCTTTACAAAAGCACTGTGAAAGTCACAAAAGCTTTTTTTTAACAAAATTATTAGATGGGGATGTGTATCAAAAGAATGTGAACTTGGCCCTAGCAACAGCTACCATTGTGCAGAGCCTTAATCTATA